TTCCTTCCACTGCTTCAGCAGCTGCCTGTAGTGTTCTTCAGTATCAGGGTCCATGCACTCTTTCTTAGGCTTACTGATAGCAGCTCCATAACCAGCTCCTACCAGTCCTACTATGGCATTACTAATATCCTGCCAGTAGCTGTTAAATGCAGCATCGTCTACAGAGGCTTGGCTGGCATGGCCATGCACAGTATTTCGGTAGTATTTCAGCCTGGCGATGTTGGCCTGCTTACTCACATCTGCAGGAGGGGGAAGACTGTCCCATCCAGTGCTGGGAGGAGCCAACCTACAGATGTTCCTTAGTAACACCATCAGTAGTGTGATATCAAACCCTACAGATGAAACAGATGATGGAATAGTTGGATACAGCTTCCCCCATTGCATAGGATTCAAGACTCTCTTGTTCTTTAGAGATTTTAGTATTGCATGCTCTGGGTGACGCCCCAAAACTATATGAAGCCCTCCTGCAGGGTGAATGGCATCAAAAGTGTCTCTCAAGGCTTGGGATCCAACATCCACCAGAAGGCGACAGAGTCGAGCATAGTTGGTTGTCTCTTTTGTAGAAGGAAATGCTGGTGTGGCAGCCGATGCCATGTGCTGTAGTAAAGATCAATTCATTTAAAGCCCGTAAAGATCAATTTTATAGCCAGGACAAGGCATGTTTACAATATCGAACTCCATATTGCCGGGAAAAGAGATAAATTAAACAATCATTTTAGAAAGTGGGAAAAGTTAATGAGCGTTTTTACGAATACGTGATGTCATGATTAATTTCCATCATTAGTTTTAAAGTGATGGCATTGTAATTTGCATACGAGGTAACTGTATAGCTGTAATAGCTTTGTGTGTGTTTAGCTTGGTATTCTTCTATTTGTACTATATGTGTGTGTGTTTTTCTCTTTTTTTTCTTTCTTAGTTTCAATTTTGTATGTAAACGCAAGAAATGCTTTAATAAAAAAAAAAGAATAAATTAAAAAAGAGATCAATTCATCCCAAGGTGAGATATTTCATAGAGAAAATTTTTTAGGCAACCAGGTGGAGGAATGAAGATGACAAGGTTTTTGCCCATAGCATGATGCAATCTCTCGTGAATTATAGAAAAATCAATGAAAAAGTACTTAATTTAGCACGCTGCAAGGGACTCTGGGAGTCCACTTTTCCGGGCGCTAGCTTACAACTAAACTTCTGCGCAGCTTTGTTAAATCAATTTTTTTACTGAATTTTTTTACCATTCGTATAATGGCAGAGCCAAAAAGTACAAAGTACAATGGTTGTAGCCTAACTGGAGGGATTTTTTTTTAATGCAGGGAAGGCTATCAACCACTGATCTGCTGTGCTTAGAGCACTCAATCATTTAAATAATTCATTAAATTGTTTGCTATTATCGAAATGTTTTCGATACTATCACTGACTATCTCTTGGGCTCCACTTCTGATCCTCTATCACCTGGAGAAGAGAGAACGAGGGAACTCAACTCTATTTCATTCTAAATTGTTAAAAAATCAATGTTTATGTTAAATTACCAGAAAAGGTTTGTGGGAACTTTGATTAATTTCTAATATTTATAAAAATCTCTTGATAAGTGCATATGTTTGTGGTCTTGAATCAATCCAACTTGTTTACTACACATAAGAGTTACGTAGAATTGTGACTAATTAACAATTTCAATACTTTGCTTGTTTTTGAGTTAGCCATAAAAAATACCTTAGCCCCTCGTCAAAAAGAAATGGCCACCAAGACTTAAAAAAATCCAATAGGGAAGCTGAATTGTAGTTCAAATTCTTTCTGTAATGATCAAATTAAACAAATTTCAATTGAAACTTAAAGTGTATATACTGAAGGGTATGTTAACTGGCACAGTATACGATTAACACGTGTAACATACCAATTCTCAAGATCTACAAATTCCTTTTATAATTCACATCAGGAAAAAGTAATTCTTGCCCCTGATTTTACAGGAAGTACTAGCATCATCTTTATAACAACTATTATAGTTTAATGGAGGCATATGTAATATTAGGTGTATCAAAGTAGTGCACTAAAAGGAATATTAGAGGCTTAATTTATACACCTCCAAAATTTCTTAAAGTTTACAGCCTAACATAATCTAGAAAAAACAGTCCCTTTCCTCCAGTCTAATTGATGGCTCAAAAAATGGCACAATTATTTAATAGATAACTGAATGAAAAAGAGAAAAATATATAAGCCCTTGCATTGCATATAGCTGAGAGCAAGATTATGATATATTAGGGTAATATGAACTGAGTTCATAACGTAAATTGGCCTCTGTAAAGAGTTTAAAAGCTGATGTTTTGAGTGTTAGCCCTTCGTCAGAGCAAGTAGTTACTGGTACATTAGTCTCTTAAAACCATCACCCTCTTTCAGTTTATTACGTAAACTAAACTGAAAACAGAAAAGAGTGCCACAGTATATTTTTCAACTCTTGGCAAATCTCCTTAACTGCATGACATCATTTAATTGCCATCTCTATTAAAAACTGCAAATTTCACATTTAGTCTTCTTGAATCACTGGTCTTTGACATACTTGATTAGTGTGGGGGAATTAATTTGAGAATATCATCTGACTTGACATGTACGGGTTGGAGTAAATTCTGCTCGTCCAGGCAGCTGACTTATTATCAAGGGAGTGAATATCAGAATTGGACAATTTCTACCATCATATAATAATGTATAGTGCAGTCAGCTGCAGTTTACAGACAGGATTCTCCCTTAAAACACCACAAGTAACTTATATTTCTTCCTAGAATGAACAGATTAATAACTAATCAAGCCAAAAATATCCATGCGCTTGAGGTCATTGTTATATAATTAATCAATCATCTTCATTACAGAGGGGTGAAAGGGGTTTTTGCATGATGCACAATTGAGTGTTTTCAACTTTTGTGACCTGCGAGAATAAAGAAGTAAAACCCCCATAAACTATAAATCTTTTGCCTTTTGCCATATGTGAACCTTAAAGTTGTTTACCCAATACTTCAATGTAGTATTTCAACTTTTTGATGTTCGTGTAACCTGCACAAGACCCCTTCACGCCATGTTCAAACATACAGTATCAAGCTTAAATAAGCCAACAATTGTTATCAACGTTAATATAACTATCAATCAGGATTTCATATACCTAATGAAAAGAGTTAACATCACTGATTATGGTCAAGAATTCTTAGCATATCTGTTCATTTTACAGACAGTATTTTCACCTCACTTGAAAACCCAGACATGCACCTGGAAGAGGTGACTTCTTTCTGAAATTATTTGAAGAATTTACCACAGAATTCGAAAGGAACTGAGTAATCATACTGAGATAATTATTTGCCTCAGGCTTGGCAGTGCACATTATTGAAAAATCCCCTTTTGTTCTATTAACAGATAACACTACACAAACAAAAACATTTCTGCTGTGCAGCTGCAGGTGTAATATTATAACAGCAGAACCCTTAACCCTTTACACCCTAACATTAGTGTTCATATTCTCCACACTGATCTCTCTACATTTCCTGAGGTAATGACAACGAGAATTTGTTTGACAATCAGGAGCTTCTTAAGTTGGTGATTATTTCTATTATTCTCACAACCCTTACACTTGATTCAAGGGTGAAACTTTAAGGAGAAATTAGAAGCCAATCACTCTTAGGGGTTTAAGGGTTAATAAACTGGTGAAAATCTTCCATCTGGCATTTAAATGCATATATTGATTATATGGTCACATTTTTGGGTGTTAGAGGATTGGACTCCAGTGTTAATATTAAGGGATGTATTAACAAGAACATGTTATTGAAGAAAATGTTGAGTTCAGTATGATGAATGGCATCATATACAAATACATGCACATACAACAAGCAATTATACTGTAGGTAAATTATACTGCTCTCTAATGTATTTATTTTTTCAGATTAGTTTGAATGCCGTAAAGCTGTACAAATATTATATGCAATAACTGCAGCCTGCATGAAGAATAAGCTATGAAACTGACTTTCTCGGCCCTCCTCCCCTCCCCTCACCCTCCCATACTTAATTCCCAGTCCAGACTCCATATTCCAAATTCCTTGTCTCACATTTCCAACTAAAAATCCGACTTATCGAAAAGCTAGAATATCATGACAGACGGTTCTATCCTTATACGTATTGCACATTTAAATTGTGCAAGAAAATCACGTTCACTATTAATAATGTAGGAAAGAAGACAAATTGGTTCCTAAAATAACTAAGCTTGAGGAATATTTCCTAGGTCTTCCCGTTTCACACCATTTCACTTTCGATTTCCGATTTCATCGATTCACGGAAACAAAACTGACTCTGACATGTTTGCGTTATACGTCAGACAAAAAACACTTCTCTCGAAATACAGATTTTACCCACGGTAAAAATTAGCTTTCACATACCAATGAGCTTGCTGAGTTTAAAGAACTGGGAAGCTGTCACAAGGATTATTGACGGGGTGCGTCTCTTTATGCGCGTTCATAATTATAATTATTTTACAATAGTTTGTTAGAAGCGTTTTTCATACCTTTAGCTTTGAGCTTCTCTCCTGATATAGACACAATCTGGCACTCGACGCTGGAAATCGATACGACCAACAGCTGTTGAAAAAAACTGATATGAATTTAACTCAATCAAATAGAACCGCTTGGTTTCGATTCTCGATCAAATACCTCAAGTTGAAGGTTAATTCTTCAAATCTTCTGTCTCGTACCCGTGTTTCTGGACCCCAAACTCATATTATACTTGTCAACAAGTATGTTGCTCTCTGCAAATTTTAAAGACGCTGCATTTAGTTCACGTCTGTCACTGTTGCTTTGCAAAGATTGGTGCTTCGAGAATTGGGACGTCGTCTGTCAGATCACGCGATCACCTACAATCATACGTCAATTACCTTATACCAAGGAGTCAAACCACTCATGCGGATGGCTGAGTTCTCCAGAACAATGAAATGGTTGTTTTGCTAATTCGTTTTTCGTGAAGTGTGCGGCTGTAACCAACTCAAGTTTGAAATGAATTAGAATCCCTTTTAATAGAACTTTAAGCCATTATATTTATAATTGTATATTAGTAGCTTG